TTTCCTGAGCAGGGAAGAGTTACTGTGAGAATATGTCCTATTTTATAAACATTGCATGCATTTGCTTTTGTTTTATTTTTAATAGCCAAGGGTGTTATCCTCAGAATCCTTGATATTATCATTATTTGGTCAGTATTTGTCATGGAAGTTAGCTTTGAAAAGGGATTTAAAAAAGGAAATAATGAAAAGCTTTAAAGCCAGCCGGGAGGCAAGGTCACCTTATGAGAGGCGCAGATAAAAGCTGCAAAGCCAGGATCACTGCAAAGGGGAGATCTTCACTATCACCTCAGATATATTAAGAAAAAAAAACAAAAAAAAAACAAACAACAGATAGGTCCAAGAAGGGCTTTGAAGCTGAGCCCCATGATTGTGTGTGAGAGCAAGGAGCAAGAAACAGAAAAGAGGTGAGGAGAGTAGAGAAGCACTTCAGAACASGATGTAGCAGAGGAAAGCAAGGATGGGCAGAGAAGGGCAGATGGCCTGGGGAACAGGACACAGCAACCCAGGTTGCTTTGGTGTCATTCCTGTGGATCAGGTAAATCATATCAGGTTCTAGTGGGAGGACATACCAACCCTGCACCAACTCAGAGTGAAGCAGTCCATTGTTTTCCTATAAGACAGACTCCTTGTCAAGAACAAACTTTTACTAGTTAGCTTCATTACACATTATTTTTTCAATCAGTAACATCTCATCAGTAGAAATTTTTTAAGGATGGCTCATTTTACTTTCATCTAAGCATGTTATTTTCCAGTGCAACCTAAAGTGAAACAAGTAATATTACAAGCATCTTTTTGCTATGTTGCCTTGAAAGGCCAGTTTTTAATAATGACACAGACACGGTTAAGGGGATAAAAAGGGTTTTACCTCGGTATTTGGGATCCCAGGTGCACAACTTGATGGCAGAGTGCACACCCGTGTAACAGCACGGGTACAAGTTTTATAGGTTTCAGGAATAAGCATATCTATCTAGGATTCCCCAATAAGAAACTTAACAAATGCAGTAATGTCCCCCTATTCTAATGAGTCCCCCGCTGGATGAGGCCAGAGCCCAGTTTACACAAGATGTTCTGGACAGAAGGCTTCACTCAAGGCTGGAGCCTCAGGTTTGAGATAGCACAGGGCACACTGACTCCTTCCTCAGGATGTTTGGTCTCTGTGCCCAACAGAACTCCTAAACTAAGCTGGAATATCAAGCTTCAGGAATTACAAACATGTGGGCTAAGGGGTACAGGCGGATGCATAGAGGGTACAGAAAGCATAAAAAGGAAAAGCAAAAATCATCAGGCATCAGCTAGTTTAAGTGTAACATTTTAAAGTCATGTGTGCTAGAAATCAAGCCCAAGTGCATTGCCCTGCCTGGGTCAGACCTATCAGCACAGCCATGATCTGAAGAGGATATCTCTACTAGGACATAGCACAACTAGAAAAGAGAGTAATGAGGAAAACCAGAAGTACAAACCTGCTCCCAGAGAAGGAGCATTGGATACGCCAGGGCTTGTCAGCTTGGAAGAGATTATAAGGAATATGACTGACATCTATAAAATCCATCAGCACAATAGCTGAGTATGGTTCAAGTGCTCACTTATTCTTCTTATAAGGGAAGTGTCATTTTAAGCTGGGAGAAGCCATGTTCAAAATGAAAAAGGTTACTTCTTATGTAACTGTTGAGGGGTAAACTGGACAAGTCTCATGAGAAGAAATTCACTGACTTACAAACAGACAGAAAACATACACCACCAGTTGCAGATGGCTGGGGAATGGGAGAGGATTAGGAGGCATTCCCACAYATGTCTTACCCGATGAGCAGCTGCTCCTGTGGGCTGAAAAAAAAGAACTGTCTTGTTCTCATACAACAGTATTCTCTGCATTTCACTAAAAATGTAGCATTGTTTCCTTAAGAAGTGGAGCTTCATAATTCTCACAACGTTTTGCAATGCACAAATCAACTTTTATGCACGAAATTTGGCTGTTGCTAAACAGTTTGTGTGGAAAGTTTTTCATTTTACTSCATTTTCAGTTTTGAAATATGAAGATGATACATCATCCTAATTGCAGATGCATTATGCACACATGAATGTTAGAACTGGTGCAAGCTTTCCCTGTATTTCTAAAGTATYTAATTAGTGCAGTGATAGACATATTCAAGCCCTGACTAACACCAGCATTTAATATTTTTGTTTATAGCAGATGTAAGAC